GACTTCGGTGGCTGTGAGCATGCCACTGCACTCCAGCCTGGGTGACAGAGTGAGACTCTGACTCAAAAAAAAAAAAAAATCCCTTACAATGTGTAGTGGCGGCTCTGAAGGAGGAGGACTTCATAGGATGCTGTGTGAGGGGAGAACAGCTCGAGAGATGGAAGGAGGGTGTGAGCAAAACTTACTCGAATTGAGAGCTGGAGGGTGCGTAGGAGTCGACCAGGCAACTGTCGGGAGAAAGGGTGTTTCAGGCCAAGCACTCTCATGTGCAAAGGCACTGAGGTGGAAAGGAGCAGCTGCCATGGGGGAACTGCAAGAGGGCAGCGTGACTGGAGCAGGAAGAAAAGGGGAAGTGACTGGCAGTAGGTGAGGGCCGTGCTCTCAGGTTCTCTAATTTCCCGTCCTCAAATGGGGCAAAAAGACAATGATCTGTCTTGTTAAGAGGATTCAGTGCAATGATGAACCCAGAGCATCTAGCGTCGTGCCCCGTGCACAGCTGGGGTCAATAAGGGTGACCGATGAAGGAAGCATCTGGGTGGAGGCAGAGGCTGATTAAAGAAAGCTGTGGACACCGTCTCAGCTGGCTGCAGGGAGCCGCTGAGAAGCACATTCCAGTCTCCGTGGACGTTACTGTGGGCATCGCTCTTTTGTTGAAAGCAAAGTGAAATTGAAGAACACACTGTTGTCTTGGTCTAGGTCAGGATGACTAATTATTAGACTCACTTTTGAAAGGTTACCATCTACAGACATGCAATCGGGCGGAGAGAGGGGAATTCGGAAACTCGATTCATTCTGAAACCCCGATCGGTGGAACGCGTGCTTGGGTTCTGAGCATAATGACTGTGAACATTCAGTTTAACTCAGCTATTACCGCAGGCGTGATACAAAACAAAGTGTTTTGCATCAGCTCCCTGGAGCACCTTGGGCGGGCAGCTCATGGCAGCCTCGGCAGATTCTCAGGGTGTGCAGTGTGGGACTGAGTTGGGGAACCAAAGGGACTCAAGACCCTGAATCCAGGATGTGAATCCGAGGCATGGCTTTGCCACATATGGGCCACGTGGCCTTGACTAACTGCCTCCTTTCTTTAGGTCTCAGTTTCCCCACCTGGGAAATGAAGGACTAGATCAGACGATCTTCTTTTTATTTTCAGATTAGAAAATATCGTTTATTTAAAAAGTCAACTAGAGAGAGAGAAAGAGAGAGAAAGAGGAGATTCACCTCCCCAAGGAGGGGGAGGGAGCCAAAGCCAGGAAACATGGCCCAGCCAAGCTCACAGAACACATGGCCACACCATAGCTTAGCAAGGCAATGGCCCCGATGATCTTCAAGGGGTTTTCTAGTTTTACTGTTCGATGATGCTCTCTGGGGCTGTGACTTTGCTCACCACCAGCTCTCTGGGCTCCAGTTTCCTTTTGAGCATTTTAGAGTTCCCTGAGAGGGTGGGTTCATTTTATGCCCTGTTTGCAGCCCCCACCTTTGGAGTCCGGTGACTTGAAGTCTTCCACTATGGACTCCACTGAGAACAAATCATCCCATTCCTTTCCCTGGCAGTTAGTTCTCTAATCTGGGGATACATGAGTCCAGTGGTCCAGTCTGGTTGGGATTATGGGCCCCCTGGTTCTATTCTGCCTGTGCATGTGGTCCAATACTCACAGGCCCATGGGGCCCCCCCGCAGGCATCTGAACTCCTTCAGAAATCACTTCCTATCTCTGGGTCTCGCCAGGGAAAGTTCATGAAGCTAGTGTCAGGACCTGGGGTGGATTGGGGCTTTCTCAGGGCTGAGCGCAGTGCTGGGCATGTGGCTGTGTGTGATCGTGTTTCCTTCTCACTAGGATCAACGAGGTGGATGTCCTTGTGCCCCCTTCTGAGGGACAGAGGGACCAAGTAATTCCCTCAAGGCCACATAGGGAGTGAGAGGGCAGAGGTGGCAAGTTTACTTAAGTCTATTTGATTCTTTTTGTTTTTTTTGAGTTGGAGTCTCACTCTGTCACACTCACGGCCAATGCAGCCTCAACCTGCTGGGCTCAGACGATCCTTCCGCCTCCACCTTCCAAGTAGCTGGAACTACAGGCGCGTATAACCACACAAGTCTATTTGATTCTGATCCCTCAACGACTTTGGACACTGACCTCACTATCTCATTTAATCCTTACAACAAATAAATCCATCCGCAGGCATCAAGTGTTAGAGGCTTCATAGCAAAACCTAGTGGAGACCTTGCGGGTACGCAGGCAGCGGCCAGATTCTCCACCCACTCCCCACTTCCTGACCTGGGTGCTCTAGGGCCCACGTGGCCGCGAGACCTCCAGTGTGCTGCCTCCTGTGATCACACTTGCTGGTGTGAGTCCTCCTATGGTCGAACTGAATGATGCAAGAATGTCATTGTATAAGGTGGTAGCCGTGTTTGGCCCACTTTATTGGTCATCTAAGGCATCTTCAGTGGTTATTTTGAAAATACAGAGTTTTTGCTCTGAACATTGGCCTCGGCCCTAAGCCAGACTAGATCAGGTGCCATGCCAGCATGTCCTCCTGAGCAATCTGAGCCTACTGCGCACCGTTTGAATGTCTGTGTCTGAACCTGAATCCCTTCCAAACAATGGGATTGCCCATGGGTCGGTTACCCATGTGAGATACTACAGCACCCTGACTGGTTATTATCAAAATGAGAACAGAATTGAAATTGAACATAAGCCAACATTAATTACCATTAGCAATGTGGTTAAGAATATAATACATAATTTATTTTTAATTTGTTTACTTTTTTTTTAAGGTGGAGTCTCACTCCATCGCCCAGGCTGGAGTACAGTGGCATGCGTCGACCTGCTGGACTCGGGCTATCCATCTGCCTCAGCCTTCCAAGTAGCCAGAACTACAGGTGCACACTACCAGGCCCAGCTAATTTTTAAAAAATTTAGTGTAGAGATGAGGTCTCGCCACGTTGCCCAGGTTGGTCTCGAACTCATGGGCTCAGGCAATTCACCCGTCTGGGCCTCCCAGAGTGCTGGGATTACAGGTTGAGCCATCAAGTCCGGCCTATTGTTACTTTTTTGAGACAGGCTCTTGCTTTGTTGCCCAGGCTGGAGTACAGTTGTGCGATCATAACTCCCTTCAGCCATGAACTCCTTGGTTCAAGAGATTCTCCCATTTCAGTTTCCCAAGTAGCTGGGAGTACAGGCACGCTTCACAACGCCCAGCTAAGTTTTAAAAAAATGTTTTGTAGAAATGAGGTCTCGCTATGTTACTCACGCTGGTCTCGAACTCCTGAACTCAAATGATTCTCCCACCTCGGCCTCCCAAAGCGCTGGGATCATAGGTGTGAACCCCTGCGCCTGGCCTATAATGCATAATTTAAAGCAACACTTAAATAAATGCAAATAGCTCGTCACAAATAAAAGATTCTTGCTTAACCCTCGACACCCCCTAAGGATGGCACTTGAAGAGCCCCCAGCATGCAAAGATGAATTTTCAAGTAATCTCCCCACATCTGACCGCATCTCCCCACTTTCACCTTTCCACCTTCGTCCCAGCTACTCACAAACATCTTGGATTATTCCAGGGGCCTCCCCCTGCTCTCTCTCCTCTGAACACGCTCCCCTTGTAGGTGACGCTCTGGGCATTAAAGTTCGAGTTGGATCACGTGGCCTCTTCACACCCCTCCGATGTTTTTCCTTCCACTCAGAGTCAAGCTAAAAGCCTTACCATGGCATCCAAGGCCTCACATCGTCCCCCAGGTCCTTCTCCGAGCTCATTCCTGCTGCTTCTCCTCTGGCTCAACTTATTCCAGCCTCTCTGGCCTCCTTGCTATGCCTCCAAGCACACTTCCACCTCAGGGCTTTTGCACTTGCTGTTCCCTCTGGGGGAAAGTTCTTCCCCTGTGTGTCTATCTGGCTCCTTCCCTCGTGTCTTTCTGGTTTCTGCTCAGGTGTCACCTTCTCAGAAGGACTTCTCTTGATCAGCTTATCTAACACATCAGCTGCCTAAATTAGAATAAAGTCTTGTTCGTGACCAGCCTGGGCAACTTGGTGAAACCTCGTCTCTTCAATAAATCAAAAAATTAGCCGGGTGTGGTAGCACGCCCCTGTAGTTCCAGCTACTTGGAAGACTGAGGTGAAGGATCACCAGAGCCCAGTAGGTCGACGCTGGGGTGGCCGTGAGCATGCTGCTGCACTCCAGCCTGGGCGATGGAATGAGACCAACTCAAAAAAGAAAAGGGGGAAAAAAAAGAATAACGTCTCAGCTTTCTTCACTCTTTATTCCTCTGCCTGTTTCGTCTCATATTTTGTCTCCACCTGCCAGAGGTTATGTTTTTTTATTGCTCTCCCCCAGCTAGAATATAAGCTCCATGAAAGTAGTGACTGTGTTCTGCTTCCTAGAGTGAAGGCTCCTGCCTGGAGCATAGCAGGTTGTCAGTGATGCCTGCTGGTTGACTTGATGAAGCAGCAAAGGCAGGAATGAGCTGAGCTTTCATGGGTAAGCATTATTGCCTGGGCAGGACACTCACTGAAAGTTTCATGAGTCCCTTTTCGGGTTTCCATCCTGAGTGAGTATTGACGACGTCTTTCCCCTGGTGGATCTGCGTTGTGCGGCAATTTGATGCTTCTTTTCAGCACCTCTGCATCATCACTTTCTCGGATGCCTTCAGTCTTCCTTCCCTTCCTCCTCTGTTCCACCACCAGCACAAGCAGTTGGATTTATTTTAGGGCTATTTCTCACAAAAAGCAAAGTTTCATCAATTCCTGGGAGTAGCTGGGGACACGTAGCACCAAGATAGAACAACAGAGCCCTGTGGAGATGCCTGGGGTGGTGGTTTCCTGAATCGCTGGCAAGATTCACCATCCACACCTGCACCCAGTCCTGCAGGGGACTATCTGAATTCATTCCTTGGTGAAATAACAAGTGATCTCGTGTCACAGTCACTGAGGACGGTCGACAAATGACTCGTGTTGATTTCACGAACGCCACGAAGTCTACAAGGTTTATCTACTCAGTCTCTGCTTACCCTTGATGCCCTCCAGGGTTCTGTGGCTCCATGACATTCGGAAGTTCTCTTTGTGTTCCCATGACTCTAGGATCCCAACCCTTGGCTTCGTTATGTACCTATGGCTCTAGAATTCCAGCCCTTGGCTTCTTTATGTACCCAAGGCTCTAGAATCCAAACCCCTGGCATTTTTATGTACTCATGACTATAGAATTCCAGTCCCTGGCTTTTTGTGTATCCATGGCTCTAGAATCCTAACCTCTGGCTTCTTTATGGATCCATGACTCTAGAATCCCAGCCCCTGGTTTTATGTTGTACCCATAGCTCTAGAATCCCAGCCCGTGGCTTCTTTATGGACCCAAGGCTGTAGAATCTAAGTCTCTGGTTTCATGGTATACTCCTGGCTCTAGAATCCCAGTCCCTGATTCTTTATGTACTCATGGCTCTAGAATTCCAGTCCCTGGTTTCTTTTTGTACTCATGGGTCTAGGATTACAACCTTTGGCTTTTTTGTGTACCCATGACTCGAATCCCAGCACTTGGCTTCTTTATTTACTGATGGCTCTAGAATCCCATCCCCTGGCTTCTTTATGTACCTTTGGCTCTAGAATCCATATCCCTGGCATCATTATGTACTCATGACTATAGAATCTCAGTCCCTGGATTCTTTAAGCATTCATGGCTCTAGAACCCAAGTCCCTGTTTCTTTATGTACTCATGACTCCAGAATCCCAACCTCTGGCTTCTTTATGTGCTCGTGACTTTAGAATCTCAGCCCCTGGTTTCATTATGTACCCATGGCTCTAGAATCCCAGCCCCTGCTTTTTTATGTACCTGTGGCTCTAGAATCTCAGTCCCTGCCTTCTTTATGTATCCATGGTACTAGAATCACAGTTCCTAACTTATTTATGTATTCATGGCTTCAGACTCCCAGCCCCTGTCTTCTTTATGTACTCGTGGCTCTAGAATCCCAACTCTTGGGTGTCTCTCCAGTCTGACTAGGAGGAGACAATTCACCAGATGTTAGGTAGTGAGCTAGCCTTATTTGGTCTTCCAGCATTCTTGTGAGCAAAGGGCTTTTAGGCATGTACCCTCTGTCTCTTTTTTTGAGTTGGAGTCTCACTCTGTCACCCAGACTGGAGTACAGTGGCCGCTCCTGGCTATTGCAGTCTTGACCTGCTGGGCTCCGGTGATCCTTCCGCCCCAGCCTTCCAAGTAGCTGGAACTACAGGCACATGCTACCACACCTGGCTAATTTTTTTTATTTATTGTAGAGGTGAGATCTTGCCAAGTTGCCCAGGCGGGTCTCGAACCTGTGGGCTCAGACAGTCCACTCACCTCAGCCTCCCAAAGCACGGGATTACAGGCTGAGCCACTGAGCCCGGCTCCCTGTCTCTTGATTTCTCTCTTATGTTATGGGACAGTAGACCATGTGAACTGTCACACCGGTTCAAGATAGAATATTCTGAGATATTTTTACTCTTTGAACTTGAGAAGGATTTCTCCTCTGGTTCCTTGGCATGTGATCTTTATTTCAGTTGTATATGTTGAAGACCTACTGTGTACACTGTGGCACACCACAGGTTATGGGGAGGAGCAAGACAGAGCTCTTGTCCCTCAAGAATGTGCAGTACAGAAAGGGATGGGGATGGATGTGGCGACAGCTGTGGAGTAGGAAAGTGTCAGATGGAGGAGAGTGCTGTGACCCCATCCGGGGTAGGGTCAGAGAAAGGCTTACTGTTTTCATAAAGATAGCACAGATGCATTAAAATCCAAATAAATGAAGAAAAGATACAATAAATAATACAATGGACCTTCCAAGCCTCCTCAAACCGTTATTCAAGCTATATCTCTACATGGAGTTTGTAGACAGAGATGTAGATGGGAATGCTTTTATAAAATGGGATACTTTTATTTTTTTAATTCTTTTTTATTATTATAAAGATGTGGGGCACAATTCAGGGTTAGGTATACAAACATTGATTATGCAGGTACCATTGTTGATGAGGTATGCCTCCCACCAGCAATTTTCCTCAACTACCAATTGCACCCCCCCCGACAGTTTCCCAATAAAATGGAATACTTTTTTTTTTTGAGTTGGAGTCTCATTCTGTCACTCAGACTGGAGTGCGGTGGCTGCTCCCGGCGATCCTTCCTCCTCAGCCTTCCAAGTAGTTGGAACTACAGGCACACGCTACCACACCCTGCTGATTTTTGATTTATTGTAGAGATGAGGTCTTGCCAAGTTGCCCAGGTGGGTCTCGAACCTGCGGGCTCAGGCAATCCACTCATCTCAACGGAATACTTTTAAAAGTAAAAATTGCTAAGGTAGTTTTACTTGACTTAGAAGAAAAGGAAACAAGAAAAACCAAAGGAATTGGAATTTTAAACAAATATGTCATTACCAGTAGAAGTGGTTCCTAAAAGATCCCTCCAAGCTTAATAAAGAGATTAGGAAACACATTGTGATTGGAGTTATATGGTTTTTGTCAAATCTATGGATTTTATTATAAGCACAATTAAAAATGGTATTTTTTCTCAGATAAAATACTTGAATTAATCCAAAGATGGGATTTTGAAAAGCATCATAAATTTGTCCCTCATTAAATCAGAAGACAGGCATATTCTGTGCAAAGTCTGTGACCAGCTTTTCCAATCTTGCCCTTTCTTTTTTTCTTTGAATTAGGGTCTCACTCTGTTGCCTATGCTGTTTGTTTTTTGCTTTTTTTTTTTTTGAGTCAGGGTTTCTGTCACCCAGACTAGAGTACAGTGGCACAATCATAGCTCACTGCAACCTTCAACTCCTGAGCTTAGGTGATCCTCCTGCATCAGCCTCCTGAGTAGCTGGGACTACAGGCACATGCCAACACACCCAGCTAATTTTTCTGTAAAGACAAGTTCTCGCTATGTTGCCCAGGCTGGTCTCCAATTCCTGGCCTCAAATGATCCTCCCACCTCAGCCTCCCAAAGTGCTGGAATTACAGAGTGAGCCACTATGCCCAGCCCATTCTTGTCCTTTCTAATCCCTTCTTCATAGACTGTGCACAGTAAGGCTCTGAGTCTTGACAAATGCATAGCTCTGTATCCATCAAGGCGTGCAGTGGTTCCTTCAGCCCCGATATCCTCTGTGCCCTTTCAGGCCCCTCCTTCCACACCTGGATCTTGGCAACCACTGATCTGCTTTCCTTTTCCAGAAAATCACATAATTGGTACACAAGACAGTCTTCTAAGTTTGGCTTTTTTTTTTTTTTTTTTTGAGATGGAGTCTCACTCTCGTCACCCAGGCTGGAGTGCAGTGGCACGCTCATGGCTACCGCAGCCTCGACCTGCTGGACTTAGGCGATCCTTCCACACCAGCCTTCCAAGTAACTGGAACTACAGGCACACGGTACCACGCCCAGTTAGTTTTTTATTTATTGTGGAGATGAAGTCTCGCCAAGTTGCCCAGGCTGGTCTCGAACCCCCAGACTCAGGCAATCCTCTCGCCTAGGCCTCCCAAAGTGCTGGGATTATAGGTTGAGCCACCATACCTGGCCAGTGTGGCTTTTTTCCTTTAGCCTAATGCATTTGTGACTCACCTGTGTCGTGTGTATCAGTAATTCAGTTTGGGGTAATCATGAATAGAATTGCTCTAATAATTGGAGACAGGGTTTTGTGTGGACATGAGTAAATATCTGGGATTGGGATTGCTGGCTTGTGTGATAAGGGTTTGACCTTTATAAGAAACTGCCCAGCTGCTTTTCCAAGTGGCGGTCACCTTTTGTATCTCTACTAGCAATGGAGGAGGGCCCCAGTTGCTCTGTGTACTTGTCAGCACTTGCCACTGTCGGTTTAGAAAATTTGGTCATTTAAATAGATATCTAGGACTATTTCATTGTGGATTTAATGTGCATTTGTCTGAGATTCACAATCATATGGGTTTGTTTGCTTGTTTTGTGTTTTAGAGACAGGATTTCACTCTGCCACCCAGGCTAGAGTGCAGTGGCATGATCATAACTCATTGCAGCCTTGGACTTCTGGGCCTAAGTAATCCTTCTGCCTCAGCCTCCTGAATAGCTGGAGCTAAAGGCATCTGGCTAATTATTTTATTTTATTTTCTGTGGAGATAGGGTCTCACTGTGTTGACTAGGCTGGTCTCAAATTCCTGGGCTCCAGCAATCCTCCTGCCTCAGCCTCCTAAAATGCTGAGACTACGGGCATGAGCCATTGCACCCGGTCCCTGAGAATCATGTTTTCATTTTTTTTTTTTTTTTTTTGAGTTGGAGTCTCACTCTGTCGCCCAGACTGGAGTGCAGTGGCCGCTCCCGGCCACCGCAGCCTCGGCCTGCTGGGCTCCAGCGATCCTTCCGCCTCAGTCTTCCGAGTAGCCGGAATTACAGGCATGCGCCACCACACCCAGCTGATTTTTTGATTTATTGTAGAGATGAGGTCTCGCTGCCCAGGCGGGTCTCGAACCCGTGGGCTCAGGCAATTCACTCACCTCAGCCTCCCAAAGGCGCGGGATTACAGGCTGAGCCACCAGGCCCGGCTATGTTTTCATTTTTATTTAATTTAATTTATTTATTTTGAGTTGGAGTCTCACTCCATTGCCCAGGCTGGAGTGCAGTGGCATACTCACGGCCACTCCGCAGTGTCAACCTGCTGGGCTATGGCGATCCTTCCTTCTCAGCCTTCCAAGTAGCCGGAACTACAGGCACACACTACCGCCCAGCTAATTTTTGATATGTGGTAGAGACTAGGTCTCGCCAAGTTGCCCGCGCTGGTCTCGAACCTGTGGGCTCAGGCAATCCACTCGCCTTGGCCTCCCAAAGTGCTGGGATTATAGACTGAACTACTGAGCCTGGCTGAATTGTATGTTTTTTTTGTTTGTTTGTTTTTTGAGTTGGAGTCTCACTCAGTCGCCCAGACTGGAATGCAGTGGCCGCTCCCGGCCACCGCAGCCTCGACCTGCTGGGCTCTGGCGATCCTTCCTCCTCAGCCTTCCGAGTAGCCGGAATTACAGGCATGTGCTACCACACCCGGCTGATTTTTTGATTTATTGTAGAGATGAGGTCTCGCTGCCCAGGCGGGTCTCGAACCCGCGG